TAATTTACGCTCATAATTAATGGTTTTATTTAATTGTATATTTGTGCATAACATTGTACCAGATGATTTCACAAAAGTTACAATTAAAAAGCAAAATTGGTAATCTAGCGTACAAAACTATCTACAGACCTATAGCTCTTACGAATATTATCTCAAAAATATTCGAATGCATCATACTACAAAAACGCGAAGTAATAATCTCCGATAATCAGTTTGGATTTAAAAAGCAGCATTCTACAGATTTATGTCTATATGCCTTTAAGGAAACCGTCTGTTATTATGTGGAATATGACAGCCCAGTATTTGCATGCTTTTTAGACGCTAGCAAGGCATTTGATAGGGTCAATCATTGGACACTCTTTAAAACGTTGCTGGAAATTAAAATACCTGTATACATAGTTCATACTTAAGTCAACTGAAATGGCAAACAGTTGTATTACGTGCGATGGGGAATTGTAATATCCAGCGCTTTCCATGTAACCAATGTGTGAGGCAGGGAGGTATTCTTTCCCCTATGTTATCTACTATTTACATAGACGAGTTAAATGGTATATTGGGCCTTTGTAACGTACGGGTGCTTCTGTCACCAAATTCTTAAAATTTTTAGTTTTGCTGATGATATGTCACTGATAAGTCCTTCTATCGTAGGTTTAAGAAAATTATTGAAGATATGTGAACAATACGCATTAGAGAATGATATCATCTATAATACACAAAAGTCAGTAAGAATGGTCTTTCAGCCAACTTCTTTAAATTACCATCACCTCCCTCTGTATATCCTAAAGGCAATGCTCTTACACATGTCAACAGTTATATGTATTTGGCCATATTTTGAAATCCCGTCAGATAATGAAGATATGATGAGACATTATCGATATTTGTGTACTCGAACAAACATGCTTCTACGCAAATGTAAGCCTTGTTCATTGAGTATCAAAATTAGATTATTCAAATTTTATTGCTACACTATGTATTGTGCTTAAATGTGGACAAACTTTAGTGAAAGCGTGAAAAGAAAACTAGTAATTGGTTATAATAATAGTCTTCGCTTTTTGTTAGGTCTTCCTAGATGGAACAGTGCCTGCAGCATGTTTGTAAATTATAATTTATTCAGTTTTGAGGAAAAAATGAGAAAGTATGTATTCTCAATGATGACAAAACTATATAATAGTGAGAACTGTATATTGAAATCACTTTGGATCTATGACATTCATTTAAATTCTCATATTATTAGTTGATGGAACAAATTACTCTTTCAATTTGCCACTTAATTTCATTTTTAACAATGCAGGACGCAATTCATTGTTGTATATGTTGTATATGTATCTGTATACTTGTACATATGATATATTTGTTCTTTTATGTTTACAATGTTTTACTCTATATACGTATTTTAATTTAGATGTATTGACTATGCAATCTGAAATAATAAAGAATTATTATCTAATAGTATTCTTATCTCTTAATTCATAAACACTCCAGCATAATAAAAGTATGTTTCGAATGATTAACATTATGCAAGAAATTATTAAGGAAATGATTCAATTAAACCATTTGATTTTCTTTCAACAGAAAAGACATATCTCTGTCTGTCTGTCTGTCTCTCTCTCACACACACATACACATACACTTTCGCATCACGTCATCGTCGATACTCTTCAGATACATACATTATATTTTCAAAATATTTTGTAAATAACTGTTTATAGAGTGTATTATAAACAACGTCTTTAAATTTCAACACAAAAATATATAAATGAAAAATCATTAAACTCTGTTAGAGTCCTTGACCATTACAAAATGCTTTTACAGAATTGCGCTTAACGCATGCCCTGTACAAGATGTTATGAATATATATCCATGTATTGATGCAATGAAAAAAGTGTTAAATACAAACTATAACAACCAGTATAAGTCATTATGGACATTTTATAATGTATCAGTGTTTTTATGCAATATATAAAAAATTCTGTTTAAAATTTTCATGAATCTGAAATAAACAGCTTTAAATATGATGGGGAAAAAAACAATATCCCTCCTGATTATTTAAAGTTAAATTTAGACCTGACAAAAATTTGTTTACAGTATATGGCTTGTCTTCTACTATTAATAAGTTTCATTCTTCCTAAACATTTCCCATTTTATCACGAAGTCAATGTAATTATTCAAATCTAGTCAGGTAGATCGATAAATCGATATTTATTAATGATTTGCGTTTTGTAAAATAAGTTTCTATTGAATGGTCTATATAAAAACGTAATTAAAATTGAGCAATTGAGAGACTATTTCTGGAAATTCGTTCAACAAGCAATATCTCCCTCCAACAAGACCCTTTCCTTTGCTACTAGATTTTTTTGTTATATGACACAGAGCTATACGATAATTGTTCGAACTTCAAAATGATTTGATATATAGTTATAAATTGATATGCATTTCACAAAACTATATAATAATATATAATATAATAATAATAATAATAATAATAATAATAATAATAATAATAATAATAATAATAATAATAATAATAATAATATAATAAAACTATATAATAATATATAATATAATAATAATAATATCATAGCTATCATGAGATACACATGAGCACAAATTATATTGTCTGTATATTAAATTAATTAAGTGTGAGCTAAACAACACATTCAATTGGATTATTCAAGGCAGCTGAGAAATCTGAGTACTGATACATTTTGGGAGCATTCAATTAATTTTGAAAACCACACGTTAATTTTAGTTGATCATTGAAGATAACATCCAGGACTTATCTACTGATGAGCAGGAAGGAAAACACTTAGTAAGTGTATATTACTAATAACTTTTCTGAAAATATGTAAATATTTGTCATGAATTTATATGATGTTTACGGAAATGCATCGGGTTATCTCGGTCTAATGATTATGTATAAAAAATGTCATCGACATTTCAATCAATCAAACCGTGGTGATTACGACCACTCAAAGTGATTAGATGTAATAAAAGTGGTAAAGCTAGCTCACACAATTGCCTTGTCACCGTAGATTGATTTATCTAACTGGTTTGCAAGTTAAACACTCAGAGGGAGTGCTTAATTGCCAGTGTTTGGTTTGAATTGTCGATGCTCATTGTTCTTGTATTGGCTGATGTTTCCATGTCAGTAACAACTACTGGAAAATCAAACTATTCGTAGAAGTTTGGATTTCCTTGTTTGGTATGTCATTAATATCAACGAATAGTATTGCTGATCAGGTATTGAGATAAACAGTACAACCGCATGAAATCATATATTTTCACTAAAACCGCGAAGGTTGGTATCCAGCAAAATTTATGAATTCAGTAATTTCTGAATTGTAGTAAAGTTAATTTTACATTTTTTCCTTTACCTTTAAAGTTTCATGGAGATGCTTAAAATAAAAACTGAAGATGACACCAGATCCCTGAGACTATCCCGTGCCCCCCCTCCATCCCCTCCGAAAAATAAACTTGAATCTTTCTTTATTGTTAGTGATACAGATTTAAGGTGCTCGTATGGGTATGATACCTTGACAAACACGCTTGCAGTGGTCTGATACTTAGACAAAGGTATAATACTTTGACAAGCATGCTTATAGGGGTCTGATACCTTGATAAACATGCTCCCAGGGGTCTAAAATCTTGGCATGCATGCTTGTAGGGGTGGGACACCTCGACAACATGCTTGTATGGATACGATGCCTTGACAACATGCTTGCATGGATACGATGATGACAACATGCTTGTAGGGATAGGATGCCTTGGCAACAAGCTTGTAGGGATACGATGTCTTGACAACATGTTTATATGGATACGACGCCTTAAAAAGCATGCTTGTATGGATACGATGCCTTGGCAACATACTTGCATGGATACAATACCTCGACAAGCATACTTGTATAAATACGATGCCTTGGTAACATGCTTGTATGGATAAGATGCCTTGGCAACATGATTGTATAAATACGATGCCTTATCAAGCATGCTTGTAGGAATACGATGCATTTACAATATGCTTGCATGGAATCGATGCCTTGACAAGCATGCTTGTATGGATACGATGCTTTGTCAACATGCTTGTAGGGATACGATGCCTTCACAGCATACTTGTTTTAATACGATGTCTTGACAACATGCTTTTATGGATACGATGCATTGGCAACATGATTGTATGGATACGATGTCTTGGCAACATGCTTGTAGGGATAACGATGCCTTGACAACATGCTTGTATGGATACGATGCCTTGACACGCATGTTTGTATGGATACGATGCCTTGACAAGCATGTTTGCAGAAGGATGATGCATATTTTATACTTTTAACATTAATTAAGTTTTTGATTCTGAAATAAAGTTGCACTTGTCGATCTCAATACAATCAATGTAAGGGAACTTTAGAGATTCTGTCAGACCAAACGACAGTTTGATTTTGTGAAATATACTTGTTACGCATTGATAGAAAATCCAGCGTAAAACATGCAACATGACAAAGTTGCTTGTCTTTGTTTTGGTGTTTAGCGCTGCGTCTAAACGCAAGAAAGGCCATACATTGAGGTCAGTATCTTTGGTTGAGGAAGAACCCGCAAAGAAGCACCGACCCACGGAAACCTAGTGGCAGCTTTCTCACATACTAACATTGGACGAACCCGAGACTCAAACCAATCAAAGTCTTGTTATATTTTATCACATATCTACTGTCGTTTCTGTTTAATACATACATGCCTTTTCTATCGCTTAAATGTTGTTTAATTTTTCGTGAGTAATACATTTCTGATTTCATGTATGTTTCTATTTGCTTATAAACATGATAATGTTACTGCTTTGCACGTGAGAATGTGTGCGATATGTGTGGTATGGATTTATAAAGTATCTTTAGCAATTTTTCAGTCTGCAGTGTGGCAGTTTATATTTATGTCTAACATTTGGGCATCATTCCGCAGACAGGTAATAAAAGTGATGCATCTGTTAGTACCATTTTCTAAATAAGTTTTAGGTATGACCCGGTAGGGGTTCTAACCCGTGACGTCCCGTATAAGAGACGGACGCTCTAATCACTAGGCCACCGGAGTGGGAGCACGTGAGAGAAACTTACTAGTTGTTTGCCTCACAGATAGTCGTAGTGAGCACTTGAATGGTATGGAAAGCCATTCGGAAAATGAACGAGTCTGTTACAAGATTATTCGTCACGGCTTGCAGATGACGTACATTATTCAACTCTTTCAATAAATGTTGATTTAAACGAGCATTACGCCTTAATGAGACTGACCTAATAGTGTATGACATAATGAGACTGACTTAATGGTGCATGACTTAATGAGACTGACCTAATGGTGTATGACTTAATGAGACTGACCTAATGGTGTATGATTTAATGAGACTGACCTAATGGTGTGTGACTTAATGAGACTGACCTAATGGTGTATGACTTAATGAGACTGACCTAATGGTGTGTGACTTAATGAGACTGACCTAATGGTGTATGACTTAATGAGACTGACCTAATGGTGTATGACTTAATGAGACTGACCTAATGGTGTATGACTTAATGAGACTGACCTAATGGTGTATGACTTAATGAGACTGACCTAATGGTGTATGACTTAATGAGACTGATCTAATGGTGTATGACTTAATGAGACTGACCTAATGGAGTATGACTTAATGAGACTGACCTAATGGCGTATGACTTAATGAGACTGATCTAATGGTGTATGACTTAATGAGACTGATCTAATGGTGTATGACTTAATGAGACTGACCTAATGGTGTATGACTTAATGAAACTGACCTAATGGTGTGTGACTTAATGAGACTGACCTAATGGTGTATGACTTAATGAGACTGATCTAATGGTGTATGACTTAATGAGACTGACCTAATGGTGTGTGACTTAATGAGACTGACCTAATGGTGTATGACTTAATGAGACTGACCTAATGGTGACTTAATGAGACTGACCTAATGGTGTATGACTTAATGAGACTGATCTAATGGTGTAAGCTAGTTGAATATTTCCACACTTGTACAAATGTAATGAAATTTTCCTAATCGTTTACTCTCGTTGAATATGTTCATACTTGCATAGTTATAATGCATTCTCATCTAATGAGACAACTAGTTCCATGCTTTTAGGGTCGTCACTTTTTATACTTTACAATGATTCAGATATAATTTGGGTCTCTTTTTTTCTGCCAGTTAAATATTCTCTTATTAAGTTCTTGTACTACAGGAAATTACAGCTTGTTTGCTAATTTTGTTCTGCCGCAGGCAATATTCATTCCCATTACGAAAGTAGTTAATTGGAAGCATGGCTCTGTTTTGATGGGTGTTAGAGATTATATCTAATATGAAATCCATTAGCTTTTAATTCACAACTGTAAATTTAGAAAAAAAATCTATAGTGCAATCCCATCCACAAGGAATTCCCATTCGTATTGTAACTAATCACGGCAATAACCTTGTATGTCAAGCTAGTAATCTCCCGCACTATAGAGACATATTGTAAATAAAAATAAATATGGCACTTTCCAAACATTGACATATTCTCTAATCAGGTTATTTACATATTGAAGTGCTGAAATATGAATGTAACAGAATTAACACGTCTGATTGTTAGTTAGAGGCGACGGCGCAGGAAGATCTTGTAGCGTTTTGACTACGAAATGTATCACAGCTTTGATGCGTCTTGAGTTTTTTGTAGCCTGTTCATAAAGAATCAAAATATCCATAAGTATGCACAATCGTCACTAACAAAGCACCTGTTGATCTGCTGTAGAATTTAGGATTTATTCCCACTCTGACAATCTTTGTTGACACAAAGGCCTATAAATTTTAAGTCAAACAAAATAGTTTCAAACTATTTTACACTTTTAAAAAGTTTTGTTGTGATAATTGCAAAGTCAAACCAATATAAGAATTAATTTCAAGTTAAAGTAAGCAAAACTCTTTGTAAAAATGTCTTAATAAGTGTTTCTGCAGAATGTAAAATTGCTGATGACCATTGTAGCACATCCGTTAGCGACTCTTGAGTTTCAGAGGTACATAATTTTTTGCACGTTGCAAAGCTCTTCAGTTTTGAAGGCATGTAAATCTTGCATGTAGTCCGAATTCCGATGATGTCTAAATGGAATCATTTGGTTTTGGAAAACTCCAGAACTAATGGAGTTTGTAAAGGTTATATGCAATTAAACATTATAGGGTACATATCTACTTGTGCGCAATGAACAGCGTTTTAAGAGCAAACTTTCCATAATTTTTCAGTGTGATCTAGTTAGATAATTTCGACTTGATTTTCTTTTGAAGCGCATACAGTTTTCAAACACAAAACATACGAAAGATAAAACAAATTACCACCCTTTTAGGAGCAAACTTCCCATAATTTTTCAGTGTTATCTAATTCACTAAATTCAATTTGATTTTCTTTCCTAGCACAAACAACTTTCAAACACACACACACACACACACACACACACACACACACACACACACACACACACACACAAAACAAATCAATTAGCAACAAGTCACAGTCACGAAATTTCTACTCAATAAAAAGACAATAAGACTTGTTTTTATTTCCTGCATCAAGTTTAACTCAACTGAATCAATCTCTCCAATAGTTGAGTTAGTCGTTGTTGAAGAAAATTAAATGATGCAAACTGTCATAAATGATAGGGTATCATGGTCGGCAGGTAAGATTATTCAGGTAAATTATTCAGGTATTAACATTGGATGCTGTCATGCAGATTTGTTGACACCGTTTTATGCTTCTTTATAACATAGGTAAAACCAAACTGAGCATGTTTAAGCTGAAATGACTAAGTTCTTTGTTTTCACTTTTTGTGATGGGTGTGATATGGAAATACGGGATAATGATTTATCAGACATTGCTTCAGGTAGTAATCACAGGTACAATATCCACATTACAGTGGATCAACATGCTATTTTTATTCGACGTATGTAATCTTTTTCAAACTTACATGTAATGGCTGTTCATCAGGTGATATAAATTTTTGTAATTAAAATTATGTTCCTTTGAGGATCATTATTCATAATTTAAGGATCGTTGCTCATAAATTAGATTAGATTAACGTCTTTAAACCGATTATGGTATTTATTTTTATCGAGCGAAATATTCTCTTAGATTAGCTAGACCTACCAAGTAACCTCCTAAGTTTAGGAACACAATTAAAACTCCTTTGTTTTCGTAAATGCTGAGAATTTTGCAAGTCCCTGTATTCTTGTCATACATTTCATTCTCCCATAAAACTGATGCCATCGAGTCGGAGAAGGTTTCTTTTTTTTTAAAAAAAAATGTTTTTTACTGAACTGCCTGCGCATAGTCTGGATCTTTCTACCGACAAACACACAAACTTTGTTGAGGAGATAACAACATGAAGACCGAAAAAATCTCAGAAAATCACAAGATAAATCAGCGTGATCATACAGGTTTTGCGTGCCTGATGACCCTAGTTTGATTGCCGGATGCAGCACTTTCAATTACAAATAATGTACTAGCCAGAACAAAATGAAATCAATATATTAGCTTGGTAGCGCATACATATTACTACAAATTGGAGTGTACTCGACTTAAAAGATAAAATGTTAAAAATAAGGCTGAAGATAATTTGCATTTGACCAACCAAATGCCGGTTCTGAACCCTAAATCTAGAAGATAAACGGTTTTTATATGCTTTATATATATATATATATATATATATATATATATATATATATATATATATATATATATATATATATATATATATATATATATATATATATATATATATATATATATATATATATACTGTTTCAGAAGTTTTGAAGTATGCCAAAAGTGAGATTGCACCTTTCAGCTCTAATAAAGGAATGGTTGCTGTAGTCACCATCGTTTAAGTTGGGTCGGACAACTAACAAATAGATATCTGACCTGCCATCGCTTAATAAATACACTAGCAGTTCAGGGTCTATGTTGTTTGTTCACTTCTAAGTCACTGCACAGATCCAGATCTGCCGGCGTATTTTGCTACGGTACATCTGTGTCTATGCAGTATATACGATAAGTTTGTTTAATAGCTTTGGACCCCAATCGAATTATTACTCCACATAAACAACCTAGAAACGAAGGCTGTATATCTAGCGTGTCAAGGATGTATCGACAGAGTGAGGGGTCGATATGTTATGATCCTTCCAGACTACATGTCCATCGTAGCTTATCTTCGACGTGAACGATGTACAAATTCCTTTTCTCTTTGTATGGAAGTCAGAAATCTCCTGCACTTGGTCACCTCGAAGAATATAACACTCAGAGTTCGGTATATTACTGGAAAGAAGAATGTTTTAGCGGGCAATTTCTCCAGAACTGTCGGAGTCATCCACACAGAATGGAATCTTCACCACTCTTTTACAGAGTTCCCTTTCTCACTGTAAGGGAGGTCTCTAGTGGATCTATTTGAAACCAGGCTCAACAACAAACTTCCATTTCACGTTTCCCTTGTCCCGGATCAAGGACAATGGGCAGCGAATTCGTTGTCTCCAGGGGGATCGGCTGATCGCTTGCGTCTTCCCACCCTTCCGACTGAATACTCCAGTTCTGCAAAAGGTGACTACTTCACTGCTCAGGTCATTATCATAGTCACTCTGTGGCCTCAGCGTTCATGGTTCAGCGATCTTCTAGACCTGCCGATCGCGCGGTTTATGAAGCCAGGTGGAGAATCTTTTTTAATTGGTCCAGTAGGAGACGTTTTAATCTTATCTATCTCTCGTTTGTCTTTTCTATTGACAACACAATATACGCTATGTTCACTGTCAATGGCTGTGGTGCCGGCACTTCAAAACCTTTTAAAATTTCTTAAGGCAGGGTAAGCTTGTATTCATTTAATTATAGTGTAAGTTCCTCTCAGATTTTTTATTTATCACTTTATAATTAAATTGTTTGTTAAATTGAACAAAAGCTGATGGTATCACTTCTCTTCTGTTACTTACGTTTGTGACTATAGAGTCGTAACAGTAGTTTTTCAGGGGCAGAACTAATTTTAATTATGCAATATTTACCAATAGCTTTATCA